CTCATTTTTGCTGGGGTTTACATATTGTGACGGAGGAGAAAGAGAAAGCCACAGAAATATCACATTCAGATGCTCGTTCATTGGTTACTTTTTCCCGGGGTTTCATATTGTGACAACAGGGAACGTGTTTTTATGTTTGACTATGATACAAAGGAGAAAGAACATCAAAACACTCGGCAAACTGATTAATACTCGGCGGCTACGCCCCCTCGTACAAATCAGATAGCCTCGTGTTTCGATGCTCTTTCTATTACATAAAGAATTATCAAATATTTCATTTTTAGAAAATATACATAGGGAAATAATAGTGACAGAGAACGAGCTTATGCTAGTAAATTTAACGTCGTCGTTATTTCTATTCAGTTAATAGAAATATTAATGTAATGGAAAGAAAAAGAAAGGAAAAGAAGAGAAAATAGTTTATTTCTGACACTCATTTTTTAAAGACAATTATATTGTGGCCACGTGATAAAACAGAGAAACGTACAAATGTTTATAGTAAACACAAAAGATTTAACCAAATAAGTATTCATTGGACTTTGATTAAGTAAACTGGTTTCGATCAGAAAGAAGACATAATTTGAAAAGCATTATTTTCATCCTTGACATTAAAAAGTGTATAGATAAGTCAAATATTATATCAGACTAATTTCCCAGTCAAGCAAACTCCCTCAAGTCTTTAATTAACATTAAACAAACTATCGATCAAGCTAAAGTAATTGATGTAGTAAATATTATATTCCAGCATGCAATCTACATCAAATTGACAGAATTCGGTCAATATCACATGCAATTTACATCATCTGATGAAATACCGTAAATAACAAGTGTTGGCAAATTGGCAGTAAATATTTTAGACATTTTGTAATAAAATAGTTACAAAAATGTCTTGCAATGATTTTCTTTAAAGTATCAGAACTAAGTGCCCTAAGATAGTTGAATCTAATACCATTTGATTCTTATTATTGAGAAATGTTTTTACCACAGATTTACGCAAACTTTATACAAACAGTTCTACTTTCAACGATTTCCTCCCAACAACAGGTTCACTATTTGTAAACAAATGACTTTACAACATCTTCAGTATTGTGTTTCGGTATATTTTTGCCAAAGATATAGACGAAAATTTGTAGATAAGCTGCTAAATAAAAACATCGAATTTGTATACTTAAAGTGACGAATTCCATATCACTTGGAATGCATCTTGTATTAAAGGCACATTATGCTTTAGAATACATATTTATTAAATTCTTTAGAAATGCCAAACATGTGTTAAGTTATGTTTTAATAATTGAATTAAATCATGTTAGATGCTTAACAACTGAAGAAAGTGGCGTTGAATATACATTGATGTGTCGTAAAAGTAGCGAAATGTAAGAAAAATATGAACAAAATAGTAATTTGACTTATCACTATGATTATACCAACTGCCAACAGAGCAAAAAGAAGCAAAGATAGTTCATGTATATTGGAGGTGAGTGTTTTTGAAAACGGTAACAAGGTACCAAAAGTAGAACGTTTTTGAGAAATTAAAAAGATAGCATTTGTGAGGCATAATTTGCTTTTGATATTCCATTTCATGAATAAAACGACATTTTATGACAAGCTGTATAAAGCATATTTTTAAATACATTATTAATATACTGTATATTACTTTAGAGTTTACAATTTTTATTTCATTCCATCAATTAGCCACTACTCTACGAATTGGTAATCATGGAGTTGAAGTACTTAACTACGTTTGATGATATACACAATATGAATTATTTCGGCTATTTTAAGAAATATAAGTTCATTATAAATTTAAACAAAGAAACAACAACATATTTTTATTTTAATATTATAATAATAATTATTTGAAACGAATGAGAAAATATAAACTGAGTTATATTGGTTTATTTATTGTAGGTTTTCTTGGAATGAGTTGATATGTTTGAAGAAGAAGAAAAACCTTAACCGAATGAGAAGATGTTCAAATTAATAATATATTGCAGGGGATAAGTTCAATTTGACCAGGAAAATAAACAAACTTTCATTGCTATCTGACCATTGATAAGTAACGTTCAGTGCACCAACAATATTTATTTTGATACCAGTTTTATGTTCATCTTGGCAGCATTCATGTCTAATCGCACGTGCTATCATAGAATAATTTCTCTCAGCTTCTTGAATTTCACCAAAGTGAAAGTAAGCACATACTAAAAAAGATCTAATAGGCAGTATCGGCACCTGTGTGGAAAATAAAGGAACAGATAGTGTTACATGGTCGGGAATGAAAAGGTTTTCATTGCCTATTTTGTTTTAGAATGATTTTGTTGTTACTTAAATGGTACAAGCATAAAAAACAAAAAGGATTGGGGTCACACTCATTTAATACATAGGCAAGTGAAAGGATAATCACATGAATATATATTTACTTTCTTGTAAGATAAATCTTCGCGGGGGTAAAATGAATGTAATTGTACCAAGAGCTTTAAAAATCCAGTATTTATAAAGTTCTAAGAAAAGTGTTTGTTAAAACGTTTCGAATGTGATAATCGTTTGCTTTGAAGTTTTGGACAGAGTGTTTTATCGTTATATTTTACATTCTTAAATTTACCGTGATCTTTACAGAACTTGTGTTTAATTTGCATATTCATGTAACCTGTAAACAAATTAATGATTTGATGTTCAACCTTAAATTTATCCGCTTCAGCTAAAGAACTGCTTGCCGTTTAAGACGATGGACTATCATAGGACTTTCTATCGTTATTCAATTCTAAAAACGAACCCTTTAATTGGCCGCTGTCTCTTTTGAAATATGTTGTCAAAATATTTATCTTATCAGGGCAAAGTATGGGAGATTAATCCCCCACCCCCTGTTTAATGATTAATCCCCCACCCTCTGTTTAATATGGTTAAGTATGATCCTAAATCAGACGTTCATCTCTCAAATGCTTGAATACTTTGAAGTTTGATACAATATGATTTTATCCAGATATGCATGAATTGCAAATATAAATGGTGTAACCTTTTTTTAAGTAACTCAAACTCGTTTTATTCAAAATTCCTCGTAAGTCGAACAATTTTTAGTCCCGTATTCTTTTATATAAGATACTAATTTCCTTATTTTAGAGAGTGATGATAGCATTTATATTTTAACTGTCATAATATAATATTACTGAAAATACTACATTGTATATCTTTCATGTTTGTCACTTAATTGCGGAAATAATGTGAATATTTTTATGTGTTTTCCGGAAATGTGTGCAATTAACGAAAATTACGCCGGAAATTTACCAAGAATTATGATGGCAGTTTTAATCTGAGTAATTGAGGGATAATATTTGTCATCAAGGAATCATGTACATATCAATACATGCTAAATGTAGTAGAAAATTTCACTGAATCAATTTTAAATAAAATTTTACTAAACTAAACATTCATAAAAAGAATATATTACTAATAGTAGTTTGTGATTATAAAGTCAAAATATAACAAATGCGTGCAGGCGGCTGACTAGTCCAAGAGGACAACACAGTTCTATTTTAAAGTGAATTGGTCTGTAATGGAAGGTCTGTAGTACAATGAATAATTATATTGATAGCTTTTAGTACAGACATAAGAACAAACCACGAAAAAAAATATACATGGATGTTGTTACATGATCCAATATTACATAAATCTATAGAGCAGATACTAAAGTGTTCTAGAACAAAATATGAGCCGCGTCACGACAAAAACAACATAGTGCGTTTACGACCAACATGGATCCAGACCAGCCTGCGCATCCCCGCAGTCTGATCAGGATCCACGCTGTTCGCTTACAAAACCCTATAAGAAGTAGAGAAACTGATAGCGAACAGCATGGATCCTAATCAGACTGCGCGGATGCGCAGGCTGGTCTGGATCCATGCTGGTCGCAAACCCATTATTTTGGTTTTGTCATGGCGCAGCTCAATAGCTAAATGGTCATTCTAAATCATTTAAAATTTTATAAAAAAAATTCAAGCAACATTATAATGCAAGTGTTGACATAACATCTATGTTCGAAGATTTAAAAAGAGTTCGGATTTGGCAAGTCATGCCAAAGGCATGACATCATCTTAAGGCCAATAACATAGAAAATGGAAAAAAAATAGAAAAAAAATGTTTTGATTGCGACAACGTAGTGCAAATTGTAAGACTACCATTTTTTATCTCCAAAAAAGTGTTGTCTGCAGAGATTGAACATGTAATATTTCATGTTTGTGACGTTGATTTTTTTCGGACAATCCTGATATTTTTATATACACGGGCTTCACAAAATCATACATTTATTTCTTTTGTACAGTATCAAACATTCTAGGTCATATGTCCGAGTATACTACAGTATGGGTTATATAAAATTAAAACTTAGTTTGCAATTTGGAAAAGGTCGTGTTTGTTTCTATTTCTCCTTTTCCACTAAAAAAATATTGTGATGCATTATAAAAGTGATAGTTGCACCGTACTTTATCTCAGTGTGGTTGCATATTTCTGGATCATCGATTCCAATGCATTTAGCGCTAAAGACTGAATATCGCTTAAGCCGATGCTTGGGTTCCCGGTGCTTGGGTGCGTGAGAGAGAATTGCACTGTCTATGGAGTTGGAAAAGGGTATGTAAGAAATTTTTTTATGAATCTCAAAACATGTAAAAACAGCATTTGAGTACCACACTAAATACCGTATTCCTGTATATATACCACACAAGGCGCTTGCATGATCAAATGCTAAAGCCTCGCCTTTTCACCCGCCGAAATGCACTTTAAAATGTTTAATTTATCTATTTTCTTCAAATTATATACGACAATGAATAAAAAACATGAGACTCGACGAAAAAAGCGATATCGATTCAACTCTGTGATCAAGATTTCTGCAAGCGTTTAGAGGTACTGCTCCAACATTGTAGCGCTTTAAATCCGTATAATGTTTCTGACGTTACGACAATAAGGTTGTGACGTCAACTTTTATTACGTTCTACGCATGTGACGTCCTAATGTTGTTAACGTTGTAACCTCTAGTAACTCTCTAACTACATATCACAGAAGTCGTTGGGTTAATATCGGTTTGACAAAGGTAAAGAAGCAAAAGGATGGCGGAAAACTCTGCCGGGAAGCGTTTGTCAAAGATTTTAAATATGGTGCAAAGTGACGAAATTTGGTAAGGGCGATATTTTTTTACTTTTTTTTAAAACGTATATAGATCTAGATATAGTATAATATTACATTTATCCTTTATCGTTTATTTCGTATCGTTTGTTGTCAAAATATTAATAGTGATTTCGCATCCATCAGCGGGAGTTTCAGAATAAACTAGATTATCTGGTTCATTATCATCATCATCAACATCATTGTCATGGTCGTCATAATCATCACCATCACAATCATCATCATCACAATCATCATCACCATCATAATCATCATCACCATCATCTTCATCACCATCACAATCATCGTCATCATCACCATCCTCTTTCTCATCATTATTTGAATGATTTTTATGTAACAAGGCATTTCTTTTACTGAACGCTGAGTGCATTAAAGAATCAACATGTGCAGTTAATTAAAAGATAGTCATTAAAATCATCTACCAAATGATACAGAAGCTCCTCTTCATAATTAATAAGTCTTCATAAAATGATTTAGATTATCATTTGCAGGGGATTAACCATTTGGTCATCAATATAATTTCTCCGCCACTGTTTTAAATATTTTTGTGGAAAAAGGTGATAGTCACCTGGAACATGCATTAAATAACATTCCGCCGGACTGCCAACGCTAGAATTAAACCTACAAATCCAGCAACCCATCAAATAAACAAAAACTGATCAACTAAACCGTTCACTACATGCATATAAATAGATAGGTGAAGTAAAATATAAACTAATGTTGCAATAAAATTATATCAAACATTAATGTTTAAAGGAATATCACTAAGGTCCAAAAGCCTAAATTTTCTTTCATAGATCAACTGGAACACTTAAAACAGAAAGATATCTATATGATGATTAGGAAGTATATAATCAGAAATTATTTAGAAAATCGTTTTTATGCTCTACTTAGCCAGATATGAGTGAAAACCGTTGCAATGCTTTTCAATTCTGGACCATTTTTCACAATTATTATATTTGTTCTGCAAAAAACAGAATGAGCGTATGATCTAAAAGTTTGCACACAAATTATTGGTCTTGACCTACATCAACTTGGAAACATATTTCCAGTCCCATCATGTCAAAAAACTTCAGTGGAGTCCCTTTAATGTTCATGTATTTACTTAACAATTTTTATAACCGAGATGAATTTGTATAGGGCCTTTAACCTGTTGGAACTGACAGTGATTAGCCTTTTCTCCCAGTACAGTGAAGATCAGGCTGCACATGTACAGTTGATATGGTTCGTTTTTTTACATTTAAATCCCTAAATTATTATAATTTTTTTTTTCTATCATTGAAACTGAAGTAAGTAAATCTTAATCTTAATCATTTTTAAAAGAGAAACGGACATGCCCAGCAAGAGAATTCGTCGGTTTTGCAAATATAAAACGAAAATTGCTGAAATTAATATTTCACTTTTCTGTATGTTCCAGGAAAGATCACGTTCGTCGTGAAAATGTAACAGCACGGCAAATATGGCCAGAAACCTGGGGATATCTTGTGTACGAATACAAAATGGTAGGTTAAACTGACAGCTTTTCGACAACTGTTTCAAAATTTTAATGATATCTATGAGTTGAATTGGGACTTTCAAATAAAGAAATACAAGTAATTTATAGTCAATTTATGGAATTCGGCCGCTACAGTACTTGGTTAAATATGAGTTGACCTTTATTTTATACAACTTTATTTTGGTTGGAAGCAATAAGCTTATTGAAACACTCTCGAATCCGTTCCTGCAACGAACCAGTACTCAGCTATGAATGTAAAGTGTCTTGCCCAAGGAATCAACGGCTTGCCCCCGACAGCGTTTGAATCCACGCGGTTCAGCTCCATAATGGGTCCGTCACACCATGGCGTTCTGGTCAGCGTTCTACGACGTTTTAAGAAACGTTGGTAGTCGCCCATGATTGCTGGGATAGTGCCAGAAGAACGTTGTTTGAACGCCAGTGAACGTCAGTAATCGCCGGGAATCGGCTAAGAACGCTGGTCCGGAAAAAAAGTTTTGAACATGCACAAAAGTTCTCACTCAGACCAGCGTTCTACAACGTTTAAATCTCAAACGCTGAAGAACGTTAAAGAACGTAAATTCCTGGAACGTTTTACTAACTTTCGACGAGCGTTGCACACTGTCGTTAGTCAGTCGTTACTCAATCGCTACTTGGTTGTTACTAATAGTTTGCTTTGCAGTGAACCACTCACTAGCGACTCACTGGCGACATTTCAACGACCGCTGAACGGTCTTCAAGCGCAAACAACGTGTGACTAAAGGTAAACGAACGTCCTTTTGGCGTCAGTTGAGCGTCATTTGACCGTTTCACGAACGTCTATGCATACGTTAAAAGCAAGGTTCATTTGATTTTGGGTTATCGTAGAGGGAGATCCTGAAAGATTGAGTAGGCTTAGATGTTTGCTATAGCCAAGCATCAAGTAGATGTACTGAACTTAAACATATCTGAACATATTGAAGGAATTCATCCACAGAGAAGACCCCGACACTCATCCATAGAGAAGAAGACCCAGACGAAGACGACAGTGTTGGACTAAATCGTGAATATAAAGACGTCAATGATTTGGAAATACAAATGTAGCTAGAAGAAGGCCTTACCCCAATTTTTTTTCTTGGTGTCATGATACTGACTATTCAAACTCACAAGAGCAACTAATTCACTGAGAAATTTCCAGCGTTCTGTGCCGTTTAACCCGTTAAAATAACACGCCATCAAGACGCTATTCTGTGGTTATCCATGCACGCGTTAGTCACACGCTCAAAACGCTCGTCAGGCGTTGACAAATAGTTCGCCCGCGCCAGTATCACATTAGCACACGCTTATGTGTTTCCGACGTATCTTACATGGTCGCGGTTACACGTTTCCCGTGCGTTAGACACACGCTAGTTATGCGTTAGACGCACGTTTATCACACGCTAGATGTGTCAACCTCATTCAAGAACGTTCAAAAATTGAACGATTGAAACGTTCAGAGAGCGTCGACCAGAACGTCATGGTGTGACGGACCCTTAAGATTACTAGTCCGACGGCATCTCGGCCACGTCGCCACTTACAGGTCTTCGAGATCAGTTTTGAGCTGATATTGGGTTCCGAACAAGTTTACAGATACACAACAAATTATAACTATAGTTATTTGAATAGAACCAATAATCACAACTCGACATTTAAACATTATTTTGGTTCCAGTTAAACTGCAAACTTGCTGGGGATCCTCCACTATCACGACCCCAGTCCAACCAGACTCCGGAAACGTTGAAGTTACCTGTTATACCAAAGAAGAGGGCGGGATTTCCTAGCACAACAAGCCAAGGAATCGGCTGGACATCAGCAAAGGTATAAATACTAAACATAGTGATAATTTCCCCCAAAATCCCGCATTAAATGTCAAAAAATTCATCATTCAGGCGCCAGAAGGTCATTGGGTCATATTCAAGGTCAAAGTTCAGTACCACACGCAATATGAATCAGGATTTGTCAAACCTTACTCCAAAATGAATTGCGTAATAACTAATAACTGATTCATGAGAAAACATTGCTGTCATGCGATTCGCCAATTCGATCTCTTTTTATTAAAAAAAAAACAAAAACAAAAACTAATTTTACAATCTTATTTGGATAATAAATTCCCTAAAATTTTGAATGGACTGTTTCAAATTCAGTTAAGCAAATCCATTACACATATTGTAGGGCAAATCCATTACACATATTGTAGGACAAATCCATTACACATATTGTAGGGCAAATCCATTACACATATTGAAGGGCAAATTCATTACACATATTGTAGGGCAAATCAATTACTTATATGGTAGGGCAAATCCATTACACATAGTGTAGGACAAATCCATTACACATATTGTAGGGCAAATCCATTACACATATTGTAGGGCAAATCCATTACACATATTGTAGGGCAAATCAATTACTTATATGGTAGGGCAAATCCATTACACATATTGTATGGCAAATCCATTACACATATTGTAGGGCAAATCAATTACTTATATGGTAGGGCAAATCCATTACACATATTGTAGGACAAATCCATTACACATATTGTAGGGCAAATCCATTACACATATTGTAGGGCAAATCAATTACTTATATGGTAGGGCAAATCCATTACACATATTGTATGGCAAATCCATTACACATATTGTAGGGCAAATCAATTACTTATATGGTAGGGCAAATCCATTACACATATTGAAGGGCAAATCCATTACACATATTGAAGGGCAAATCCATTACACACATTGCAGTGCAAATCCGTTACACATATTGTCGGGAAAATCTGTTACACATATTGTAGAGCAAATCCACTACACACATTGTAGGGCAAATCCATTACACATATTGAAGGGCAAATCCATTACACATATTGAAGGGCAAATCCATTACACATATTGTAGGGCAAATCCATTACACATATTGTAGAACAAATCCATTACACAGATTGTAGGGCAAATCCATTACAGATATTGTAGGACAAATACATTACACATATTGATGGGCAAATTCGTTACACATATTGTAGGACAAAAACATTACACGTATTGTAGGGCAAATACATTACACATATTGTAGGGCAAATCTATTACACACATTGCAGAGCAAATCCATTACACAGATTGTAGGGCAAATTCATTACAAATTGAAATATTGTAGGGCAAATCCATTACACACATAGTAGGGCAAATCCATTACACATAAAATTATTGTAGGGCAAATCCGTTACACATATTGTAGGACAAATACATTACACATATTGTAGGACAAATCCATTACATATATTGTACGGCAAATCCATTACACATATCGGTGAGCAAATCCATTACACATATTGTAGGGAAAATCCATTACACATATTACAGGGCAAATCCATTACTCATATTGGTTGGCAAATCCATTACACACATTGTAGGGCAAAACCATTACACATATTGTAGGGCAAATCCATTACACATATTGTAGGGCAAATCCATTTTACAGATATTGCAGGGCAAATCCATTACACCTATTGAAGGGCAAATCCATTACACATATTGTAGGGCAATTACATTACACAAATTGAAGGGCAAGTCCATTACACATATTGTAGGGCAAACCCATTACACATATTGAAGGGCAAATCCATAACACATATTGTAGGGCAAATCCATTAGACATATAACAGGGCAAATCCATTACACATAGTCAGCAGGTAATGGGTTCTGTTGAAGTTTCAATTAAATGTCACACTGGCCATCATGACTTGACAATTTGCCCCATTGGCGTTGTGTCCCATTTATAGATGTGTCCATTGATATCGTTACATTACCCTCATCAACATTACGAGGACTTTTAAGCTATTGAGGCCTCAGGAGGATGGTAAAGAAGGTCTCAAATGTCCTCACATGCATAATTCCCGGCATATGGAGGGTTTATCAAGGTATCAACAGTTAGTGAGCTAGCTGAAAAGATTCCTAGATTTAAAAGATTAATTTATTGTTTGTACAGGATTCGAATCCCTTTTGGTGAATTATTTGAAGTCAGTGACCTAAACCACTTGGCAACCAAGACCTTCCCATAATTCCCCAAGTCACACTGAAGTCCTTTTGATGTACATTATTAAAGGGTATATTAAACATCAATATAACATACTATTACATTTTTCTTCTCTTGTTTTACAGAATACATTGCGTACCCAGATGGTAACAAGTTTTGGAGAACAAAAGCGAGGCAAATGTAGTATACAGAGAAGATTTAAGTGGCCTCACGATGCAGTTTAAGCTTATGACAACATTTTTAGATATAACTTAATATGAGATTTTAAAAATTACATCTGTTTTTATTGTTTATTCTAGAGAAGAACAAAATAACAAATTCACAATAATTTTTATTCATTTATTCGATTTAAGATTTTATTTTTTTTCAAATAAAGAACACACAAATGCAAGTTGTGTCAACTTTCATGTACAGTTTGTCCACTCAAGGTTATGCAATACATTATATCAACTAAACTTAAATCTTCAAACCAAATTATCTTACTTTTTCATTGAAAAATAGGAGGGTACAGAACATGTCATGGAATTGATCTTTTCATATCACCATACATTCCATATTTCCAGCCAACCTAATAGGGGTTTTAGGCTTTAAAAAGTGGGGAATTTGGACCAGTCGTAATCTTAAAACTATGCAAAATATAAGTATAATTATGGCCCCTATTTCATTATCAAAATTAGCATTTCTATAACATTATTTGACATTTCCAAATTTTAAACAAAGATAAATAACAACTAAAACATGTATCCGAAATGATACTCACAGTTATTTTTACAGCAACCAATGCCTTTTTAAGTTGGAAAATTTCAGCATAGTTAGAAAATTAAACAAACGTATTATTATTTAAACGCTTACTTTTTTTTTAAGATGATAATATACATTTATAAATAGCAATTTTTTTTTCACATTAAAAAGTTACATTAGAAATGCTTAAAATATTAAACTGATCATGAACAGCATCACCATATTTGGGAACTTTCAACATAAAATCCACAAGATAAAAGCAATAGAAATGTTTTTGATATTCTTATAAAATATTTCTTGGCAAAAAAGTGTTTTGAGAAAGTTAGTATGGACATGACATATGATGAATATGATGATACTTTATCCCAGAACAATTTATTATCTGCAAAATTAAGATACATTTTATTGGACCTTGTGCCTGACTCACCAACAACATCCATTTATAATTATTTTGTGTTTTATTAACACATATGATCATATTTTTTTGTATCACTTTCAAAATAAGGCCCTTATTCAGTCTTTATAACACAAATGTATGCAAAACAAATCACCGTATTACATTTAATAAATACAAGGAAAGATGCTACAGTTGATCCTTTCATAACAGGAATCTATTTTTAGGCACTTAAAACAGTCTTTGGGAGTTTTCATAGTGACATAGACAAAATTAAAACTCAATAGTGAAATCGGTGACACCTAAGTTTTTTCCGCTACAAATATTTCTGTCATCATATTCTAACAACATGCCAAGTTTTAAGAAATTCTATTGAACAGTTTTAATTCTGCCTATATGTCTACATGAAAACTTCCAAAAACGTCCTTAAGCCTGAAACAATTTACTTCACTTAAAATGCCAGTATACTATAGTTTACTTCAATGGTGTCACGACACCTGTGACGCCTCAACTAAATGTGAACAATTTATGAAGTAGGTAACTTTTTTTTTCTTGCATAGATATATACTGCTATGAGTGGTACAAAAAAAGTTAAATCAACAAATTTTTTTTGATATTTTGGGCCATTTTATGAAAGCAGCAGTACCTCCAGATGAGCCAAAATATTTCAATAAAATCAAACTTGAGAAAAAAGAACCAAAAATTTAGGAAAAGTAAAAATATTCAAGATTCAATTAAAAAATTTATTTGCGACTAATTTTCAGTGTTTATAACTATATTTCTACTGCGTTACTTATGCATTTAAGGCTATTTTTGCACATTTTTACCTCATTTTGGTAATTAAATTGGGTGCTAAGTGCCATTTAAAATGTGTAAATTGTTTCCTTTTTGTTACTACATCATATTGATAAATACAATAGAACTTCGGTAAGTCGAAGTTGAAGGGACTTGCGTAAAAACTTCGACACATCGGGACTTCGACTCATGAATCGCTCTCAATTCCATGACAAAATTTTGACCCGTGACTAGTCCTAATTATAAGATCTATAACGAAACCTATTTCATGTTTTTCCAACATTAATCTGATATTAACATTTGACAATGATAGATATAGCATGTTAAATAATGTTTTTCACGGCTAATTATTTGGACTTCCCGTTGACATATACAAAAGAGATACAAAAGGTGTATGAATACGAAAGGGCGATAACTAAACCAGCTTATAGTAAATATTACGCGTGTTATTCTCCTGCGACACCGGGTCAAGGATGTTTTCAAATGAAAGTAGTTCTTACTGTTTACTTTCAAATACCACTACGGCAATTAAAATAGTTACGATTAAAGCATTTTATCACGCATTTTATCGCAAACAAAGGCTGTTTGAACACACGGCTGTGTTATTAACACCTATCACACAAGTTGATTGGAAATCGTCTTCGCAGCCAGATAAGGTGTGAAAAATGTCTCGAGATCAAAGGTGTCAAAACAATCCAAGGACTTCGACTTATTTGTTGTAAATTGCACTAGATTTACTTTATACGGACCACGAAAAAACCTCGACACATCGAAAAATTCGACACATAAAATTTCGACTCATAAATAGGTTTTAATAAGGAATATATAGGGGGAAAGTCGGGACTTTCATTTTTCTTCGACACATCGAGAAAATCGACTAATCGAAGTTCGACTCATAGAAGTTCTACTGTACTTTTAAATACATTAAAAACAAGAGGGCCATGATGGCCCTAGATCGCTCACCTGAATTATCAAACTCATCCAAACAATTACCTAGACAAGCATTCTGACCAAGTCTCATGACAGGTGAGTCAAAAATGTGACCACTACAGTGTTAACAAGGATTATCCATATTTGAGCAGTGCGACCTAGTTTTTTACCCAGGTGACACATATTCAAACTTGACCTAGAAATCATCAAAACAAACTTTCAGACCAATTTCCAGGATACTTGGATCAAAACAGTAGCAACTAGAGTGTTAACAAGATTTTTCTATTTTTAGCTCCGGTGACCTAGTTTCACATGCGATTTCAAACTCATCCAAGCAATTACCTAGACAAGCATTCTGACCAAGTTTGATGATAATGGAGTCGAAAATGTGACCACTAGAATGTTAACAAGGTTTTTCCATATTTGGGCGGTGTGACCTAGTTTTTCATCCAAGATGACCCATGTTCGATCTTGACTTAGAAATCATCAAAACAAACTTTCAGACCAATTAACAGAATATTTGGATCACAACAGTAGCCACTAGAGTGTTAACAAGATTTTTCTATTTTTAGCTCCTGTGACCTAGTTTTTCATCCGAGATGTCCCATGTTCGATTTATTCCCAGCAATGACCTAGACAAGTTTCCTGACCAAGTTTGATGACAATTGAGTCAAAATTGTGACCACTAGAGTGTTAACAAGGTTTTTCTATTTTTAGCTCCTGTGACCTAGTTTTTCATCCGAGATGACCCATGTTCGAACTCATCGGAGTTATTACCTAGACAAGCATCTTGATCAAGTTTGATGATGATTGATGCAAAAATGTGACCGCTAAAGTGTTAACAAGGTTTTTCTATTTTTAGCTTCGGTGACCTACTTTTTCATCCGAGATGACCCATGTTCGAACTCATCCAAGCTATCAACTAGATAAGCATCCTGACCAAGTTTGATGATGATTGATGCAAAAATGTGACCGCTAGAGTGTTAACAAGGTTTTTCTATTTATAGCTCCGGTGACCTAGTTTTTCATCCGAGATGACCATATTCGAACTCATCCGAGCTATTATCTAAACAAGCATCCTGACAAAGTTTGATGATGATTGGGTCAAAAATGTGACCACTAGAGTGGTCACAAGGTTTTTCTATTTTTAGCTCCTGTGACCTAGTTTTTCATCAGAGATGACCCATGTTCGAACTCATCCAAGCAATTGACTAGACAAGCATTCTGACCAAGTTTGATGATGATTGGTTCAAAAATGTGACCACTAGAGTGTTCACAAGGTTTTTTCTATTTATAGCTCCTGTGACCTACTTTTTCATCCGAGATGACCCATGTTCGAACTCATCCGAGCTATCACCTAGACAAACATCCTGACCAAGTTTGATGATGATTGGGTCAAAAATGTGACCTCTAGAGTGTTCACAAGGTTTTTCTATTTTTAGCTCTTGTGACCTAGTTTTTCATCTGAGATGACCCATGTTCGAACTCATCCGAGCTTTCAACTAGATAAGCATCCTGACCAAGTTTGATGATGATTGAGGCAAAAATGCGACCGCTAGAGTGTTCACAAGCAATTGTGGACGGCCGGACGGACGACGGACGACGGACATTCATCGATCCTAAAAGCTCACCCTGAGCAAGCTCAGGTGAGCTAAAAAAATTAATGAAAATTAGCATGAATTTGAAGGCTTGCTTCATTTAACAATAATTTAAATGAAATCTAATGATAACATGTAACATCCAAGGTCTAACAAATTCATTATCATTTAACAAATTAATTATCATTAACCATGCAATACAACACAGCCGAAAATTGGTCTCGTGTTTCAATTCTGAAAATTAAGTCCTTCAAACAGAAATTTGATGTTCGGGATCGGTATGCACATCTGTTCAATTTTTTCATCTTTAAAAGTCCTGATTTCTTTCATTTACATTCATCACAAAGATAATCGCAATTCTCTGATTTTCCATCGTTATTGATATTTATATTCATCGCAAAGATAACCGCAATTTCCCCGATTTCCATCGTAATTGTTTCCCTGCGTATTTGCAAAACATACACTGTACATGTACGTTTCGTCTTCAATCGTTCTCATCATCCTCACTACTGTCCGATTCCTCGTACGTCACTGTAGGCCTGTTTGTATTGATCACTTTATCACCGAGGTTTTCCTCATCCTCAGAGTCACTGTCACTAGGGGGTAACATATCGTCTGGAATCATACCATTACTGTTCTTGTTGTCTGAACAGTCGGAAAATCCTGCTGGCCTAATAAAAAATACATCTTTATATGTAGCAATAAATTCAGAACAATAAATCAGAATTTTTAAGGAAAATTTACAACAAATTTCTAAATTTATTTTATTTGATAGCATTTATTCCATAAAATTTAATTCATTGAAAGTTTAAATTAAATGTATGGCTAAGACAATATGATAAGTCAACATTCAATAGACTATTGTTTTATCATGTTCACAGTGATGCTCATTTATGTATTTTTAATCTTTAAATGACCTTGAACTTTGAATCAGATTCAAAAGTATGAAATTGTTTGACAAACAGTTTATAATATCTTGATGAATAATGTTATGCCCACACTTTTGATCTTTGAATGACCTTGACTTCTATTTTTTGGGCGACTTTTTTTCTTGTATTATCCTTTTGAACATATTTGTTGATCATATGTTATTTCACAATTTATTATGAATATGATAAAATTGTCCATTTTTCTATAAATTGAAAATGTTAACATGCATACACACTGATTTAAGATTTTTTAAAGCAATATGAAACAGCTACTGACCTAACAAAAGTAAATATTTGCTTTGCCTGCTTAGCAGTAAACATTTGTTTTGTTTTACTAAGTCACACTAATATTGCAACTGTCATATGGTGCCTTTCCAGCATTACTGGTTGAGAAAAGACCTAAAGTGCCATTTCATGCATTTTTTCAGGCATGTGCTGCTATGAAAATAGCTAGATAGCTTTTTCAGATAGGTAAATCCAAATATATTGAAACCATTTGAACCTAAAGCAGTGAATGGCAAGTGATTTGAATTCAGCCATTTTAAACTACTGGCAACGAAGGTCCCGTATTTAAAAAGTATTTATTCAACAACATCAATAGTAGGAAAGCATTACCATTTTCCTTCATCTTTTATGTATTTTATTTGGTCCTTGTACAGAATGTTCACTATTTCAGCCTTGACTTTGTCCCCTTCACCAATGGGCTCTATCATCACAAAATCACCTGAAATTTAAAAAGAAATATCAGCTATGACAAACCCTGTTACAAGTAAAGAAACTGAAACTAGTGAACATCATGGATCCTGATCAGACTGCGCGGATGGGCAGGCTGGTCTGGATCCATGATTGTCGCAAATGCAAATGTAGGTTTTGTCATGGCGCGGCTAATTAATATCAGCCAACGCCAATCAGTAAGATCCAGGTCAGTCACCTGCACATCTATTTAATCAGACCAGACTTTTTATTGCTTATCAACAACTTTGAATGACTATCTCAAATCTTTCTTACATGACAGTATCCAAAGTCCCAAATATTCGAAACCTCAGCAATGAGTGCCAAACAATTTAAAGTCACTGACCATAATTACTTGGCCATAGAGTAAGACTAGCATAATATTGTTTTATTTAAGGAGGACAAAAAGTTTTCAGGCTAAAAGCATGCACCAATAACCATTCTGTCACAACAAGAAAAATATGTAAAGGTAAAACCAGCAAAATATACATGTACTGTACAAATTTAAAAACTGTAAAATCATGATATTGTTTTTAATATTTCATATACTCAGTTATATCTAGCAAGAGTTTTGACATTGTCTTTGTTATTCACATGTTATGCAAATGAAATACACGTATATAACAATACAAAGTAAAGTAACAAAAATACATCTGCCATTTTAACAATTTAGTGAAGATCTTGTGCATGCACTATCAGTTTTATTGACAATCTACAAAAACCATTCTTTCAACTAAGGTTTTCTTTGTTGCTTTTTTAAAATTTTAAGTCACTCTGACACTGTAAAGGTCATATAGTTACTTTCTAGCTTTACTGGTAGAGAAAGACATCAGGTGCCCTTTCATTATTTCAGGCACAAAAGGGCACCTGTGTAAAACCACTGACCTTCAATAATCTAGCTTGATAGCTTCCAAACTTGACAGAATCCAAACCCCCTGATGGGATTCAACAGGCAAGTAATTTGAAGTTGGTAGCCTTGACCACTCAGACACAGAAGTCCCTAGGTACAATAATATGATTCTTTCCTGGACACAGATTAATATACAACTGATTACAGTCAGCTTATTTTACCCTTTAAGCATGTCATTTTTTTGTATAATAACTTTAATAAAGATGAATATAATACCTCTTTTAATCCATACATTTTTACGGAACTTTGTTGGCATGCTGACAAGAAATCTCTCATTATTTTCCGTTTCAACTTCATGTAAATTATTACCTCTTCCAGCCGAGATCTGAAACCAAAAGACAAATTATGCTACATATAAAGAAAAACGCTTCTTTTCATACTAAGTTACCTGACAACTTTCAAATATTCATCACTATATGCAAAACAAGAGCAATCAGTGATTACATGTGTTGCCTCATGATGGCCAATTTCATGTTGAGACAAATTTTGTGACAGACGGACAGTGCACAACTAGACTTGGTACTGATCATTCCTGTAAAGTTTGGATAAAATTGCACCAGTAGTTTATGAGGAGTAGTCTGGACAAGCTTTTGCGTATCTGGCAACACACAGAAAAAAACACCTTTTTATCAAAGGGCCATAACTCAACCAAAAATCATTCAACCGTAAAAACCTGTGCAATATGCGCAAGGACTTGAGCTACAGATCAATTCTGTAAAGTTTCATTGAAATTGCATTAGTGGTATAAGAGAAGTAGTCCGGACAAACTTTAAAAATAAAAATTATTAAAGGGCCATAACTCTGACAAAAATCATTGAACCGGAAAATGCTGACAATATGCACAACTAGACTTGGTACTGATAATTTCTGTAAAGTTTGGATGAAATTGCAAAAGTAGTTTATGAGGAGTAGTCCGGACAAGTTTTGTGATGGACGGACGGACAGACGACAGAGAAGTGATCCCTATATGTCGCCACTACTCCGTAGAGGCGACACAATTATTAATGATGAACTGTTCCAAAAATTAAAAGAATATTTCACTTATACCAGGCTCTACTTTGTATTCCTAGTATATGTATGTGATGTTTTTATCACAAAGAATAGATTTGCTAAATAATTTTGGCCGTTTAGTGGAATTTAGGAACACACAAGTCAAAAGAACTATGACAAGCTACATTGTTCATATTATAGGTTCGTGTGAATGTATATTTAGTTCTCTAATTATGTGTATGATAATATAGTTTTATTAATTGAGAAAATGAAAGAACTGCCAATCTGAATATCCCTAAATATTATAAAATAAATTTTTGTATATAAAAGTTAGCTTAACAAATATTAATCTTTGCAATAACAATAGATCGAAGTAGAGAAAATATTGTCTAGTTATAATAAAGGCTATTAAAGCACTCGGAAGCTTCGAGGGAGAACCAGTAAGCCGATACACCTAGCTGACAAAAAGCTCATATAAAAAGAGACAACATGCAAAATTGCATGATCAAACAAACAATCAAACACTGTATAAAAATACAATGAATATGACCAATGGGTGAAGCCGTAACAAATAAACTTGGGCATGAATGACAAAATGAACATCAGTAAATGAATACAGCATACATGTTAGTGTAAAGAAATTAAAGTGTTAAAATTACGAACAGGCTCATAACATTCAAATTTTAATGACAAAAAAGCTGTCATTGATAGAAACAATAGGGATGTATCTTTGAGATTTTCTGTCCATCAATAATCTATACACATTTCAAAAACTCGTTAATTTTGACTGCCTAGAAATTAGAAAAATTCATTGAAAATATACAAAGAAGCAGGTGTCCATGTCTAAAATTATGCTGTTGTTACATAGTGGAAAAATTTCAGAGCAATGATGACAAAAACATGGTCAGGAAAAAAATCATGCAATGGGCATTTATAAACAAGAAACTAAACAGAACATGTAATTTACTAAAATCATTTTAACAGGTATGAAAGTGAATGACAAACAAGTAATTGTAGGTTATTTAAACTTATTATCAATATATCGTTGACATTTGTCATCCGATATTGATGTATCGTTGATAAGCTTTGTACTGAATCAATGACAGCTCTAAATGACAGAAACAGTTTATATGAATCCTCACTATCTACATGTACATTTGTACTTTAATATCAAATACATTGTTAAGTCAATAAACTGGCTTACCCGGACAATCTGCTGGCTCCCTTCAGGTAAGACAAAGTCATCTAGAACTTCCTTAACCACATGTTTCCTTTTTGTTGCTGCTGACATTTCAACTCATTTATTATACATGTAGTTGTTTGTTCTGATAAATAGAAAATATCAGCCGACTTTAAACAACAATTTTGAAAATCTATCCATTTTATTAACAAGAATCATAACTGAAAAGTGTTAAATACTGATTTTTTCTTTATTTTTACATAATTATTGCAACAAAACATTAGTGTGAAGAGTGTGTCAAGATAATTGTGTACCTTTGAACCTAAACTTATTAAAATATACAAATGGTTGAAAATGAAGTGGTGGTGGTGTTGGTAGTTAATCCTCCAGATCACAGCAGTGAGCTACTTTGAATTCACCAGGACACAATTTAGCCACCACATCATTCCTGGGCAAGTTGTCATTTAGTTTACCAGTACTAGTTGCCTTCACTTTCTCAAGGAACTGATAACAAGAGCTGTCAGAAGGACAGCGCGCTCGACTTTTTTAGTGCTTGCCTATAAAACAAAACTTTGACAGTTAAGGGCACACAAGACTTTAACTAGGAATTTCTAAGTACAAATCAAGAAACATTTTCACAGAGTTATCTTCTCTTGCTTACAGATAGGTCTCATGATGGCACATAAGAACTCCAACTTCCAAAGTAATATCTCAAATGGTTAGGTCAACAAGTGGACAAGAATGAAAATTTTAACTGAGTTTCTAAGTCAAAAAGGGCCATAATTCAAATAAAATCCTTAACAGAATTACCTTCTCCTGCCCATGTTTGGGACCATGATGGTAAACAAGTATTCCAACTTTCAATTTAATATCTCAACCAGTTCAGTCAAAAAGTTGACTGGTACAAAAAACTTAACCAAGATTCTAAGTCGATAAAAGGCCTTAATTTTTAAAACAAATCCCTGACAGAGTTACCTTCTCTTGTGTACAGATGGGGGTAATGATGTGAAATAGCATTAAAAGTTTCAAAGCAATATCTCAAAGGGTTAAGGCAATAAGTGGATTTTACCCATATTCAATGTATTTTCTAAGTCAAAAAGGGGCATAATTCTGTCAAAAACCTTGACAGAGTTATGTCCTCTTGTCTGTTGATGAAGGTCGTGATGGTAAACAAGTATGGTCAGTTTCAAAGCAATACCTCCAATGGTTTTGAAATAAAGTGAGGTGGTACAAAAAACTTAACCAAGCTCAATACACTTTCTAAGTCAAACAAGAGCTGTCAGAAGGACAGCGCGCTCGACTTTTTTAGTGCTTGCCTATAAAACAAAACTTTGACAGTTAAGGGCACACAAGACTTTAACTAGGAATTTCTAAGTACAAATCAAGAAACATTTTCACAGAGTTATCTTCTCTTGCTTACAGATAGGTCTCATGATGGCACATAAGAACTCCAACTTCCAAAGTAATATCTCAAATGGTTAAGGTCAACAAGTGGACAAGAATGAAAATTTTAACTGAGTTTCTAAGTCAAAAAGGGCCATAATTCAAATAAAATCCTTAACAGAATTACCTTCTCCTGCCCATGTTTGGGACCATGATGGTAAACAAGTATTCCAACTTTCAATTTAATATCTCAACCAGTTCAGTCAAAAAGTAGACTGGTACAAAAAACTTAACCAAGATTCTAAGTCGATAAAAGGCCTTAATTTTTAAAACAAATCCTGACAGAGTTACCTTCTCTTGCGTACAGATGGGGGTAATGATGTGAAATAGCATTAAAAGTTTCAAAGCAATATCTCAAAGGGTTAAGGCAATAAGTGGATTTTACCCATATTCAATGTATTTTCTAAGTCAAAAAGGGGCATAATTCTGTCAAAAACCTTGACAGAGTTATGTCCTCTTGTCTGTTGATGAAGGTCGTGATGGTAAACAAGTATGGTCAGTTTCAAAGCAATACCTCCAATGGTTTTGAAATAAAGTGAGGTGGTACAAAAAACTTAACCAAGCTCAATACACTTTCTAAGTCAAAAAAGGGCCATAATTCTGTCAAAAACCTTGACAGAGTTATGTACTCTTGTCTGTAGATGGAGGTTATGATGGTGAACAAGTATGGTAAGTTTCAAAGCCATACTTGTAATACTTCTGAAATAAAGTGGGGTGGTACGAAAAACTTAACCAAGGTGTGACGCCAACGCTAACGCTAACGCCGACGCCGGGGCGAGTAGGATAGCTCCCCTTTTCATAGAAAAGTCGAGCTAAAAAGGGCCATAATTCTGTCAAAAACCTTGACAGAGTTATGTACTCTTGTCTGTAGATGGAGGTTATGATGGTGAACAAGTATGGTAAGTTTCAAAGCCATACTTGTAATACTTCTGAAATAAAGTGGGGTGGTACGAAAAACTTAACCAAGGTGTGACGCCAACGCCGACGCTAACGCCGACGCCGGGGCGAGTAGGATAGCTCCCCTTTTCATAGAAAAGTCGAGCTAATAACCATACATGCCACAGCCGAGGTACAGTGAGAATTACCATAGAAAGGATTTCATGATCAATCACAACAAAGTGACTTGCACTGTCTAGGAATCCGACCTGGGCTACCAGATTTACAGTTCAAAGCTCTACCTATTGAGCTTACCAGACAGTTTGGTTAAAAAAGACATTTTTTCAATCTTATCAAATGGTTTTAACAGATTTAATAGTTCATTGAATGATTTAATTGCCGACATACAAGTCTTAATTTTCAACATACAGATATGACAAGAAATATCTGCAAAGTCTGTGATTTTCAAAAGCAACAAACTTCTGATCATCAAGCGCTGTAAATTATTATACCTACTGTTATTGATAAGGTTTTCGTTTTCTTTTAGAAATATAAGTTTGTATTCATTCATTGTTTTAGGTTGTTTTTTTTTTAAATGACGTACGACTAGCCTCAACAATGTGTATAGGCTAGCCGTATGTGACTCACCTATGGCTAGAACCTTTGGCTAGCAATACAAGCCCATACGGCTACGTCTAGCCACTGCATAAAATGTAATTTATTATTTGAAATTAATTACATGTACTTCTGTGAAAAATAAGTAATTATAATTGAAAATTAAATTGATGCCTTTGCCTTTTTATTTGTAACTAATTAATTACTTTTGAAAATAATTAAACCTACATGTAAGTCTGGTCGTAATTTCAATGTTTGGCGAATCGTATTCAGAATTATTTAACTGTTTAATATGGGGGGTGGGGTGAACTTGTAATGGGACGAATCGTTATGATCGTTTATCAATTTAAATAACTGAATCCGGAAAGAATTGACAATTGTTGTAAGTTGTGATATATGTTAAAATTTCCATTTGTTACTTACACAAAGTTTCTTTATTCGGTATCACAGAATAATGTCTTCTTTTTGCCTTGAAACTACAGAATTGTCACACTTGTGCAATAATCTCCATTTTGAAGAGTACATTGAATGATTCGCCCTTTAACCACTCGCCCTATATGAGAGTTGTTTCGCCCTAATCATGTTGTTTAGTCATTTAGTTTGAGAAATGTTAAAGCTTAATGAAATGTCTTTGTTTCAAGTAGAGAGCCAGGCCAGCGGCCTGTACATCTATACAGTCTTTACTTTGATATCTATTTTTTTTATTATTACTTTTTTTTTCTTTTTTTTTGTGTTTTTGTATTTTGATACTGGAATTCCCGGTTCTGGAATTCCTTAAGCTTTGAACGGACTGTTCAAATGTAAAGTCATGCAAAATACATTACACACATTCAGTGGATAAAGGTTTAATCGGCAGTGCTATTTAATTAAAACTTATATTGATAATCAGTTAAATTTGTGATTCTATCACTTTTTGATAGAAATGAAGTCTTTGTTACAAGTAGAGGAATGACAGACTATTCTCTCCCTAACCAGTTCCTCTCCCTGTCGGTTCTCTCCCTTACCAGTTCCTCCCCTGACGGTTCTCTCCCTAATTTGAAATATGCAGACAGTTCTCCCCCAATTCATTTTTTAAGTTATTATTAATTTATTTTAGTTTTGACTTAATTCAATAATATTTCTTAATGAAGACTATTAAAAGAATGTGTTTGATATTAAGTGCATTTTATGTTTTATGTTTATCTGAAATTCAACACCTTTTTCAGGTATTTTAATCCTATGGACACCTTCATTGTGAGAGATTAAGATAACTGGCCAGTGACTGATATACACCTGTAATTATGTAAAGGTCTAGTGATATTCATTGTTTTTGTTAAATAACGAATAACATGGTAACAAGTATGTTCTAGAAAATAAATAAGCATTTCACATTTACTTTTATACTAAATTGATTAAAGAACATGACTGTAGTCTTTCACATGAAACAATATTTTAGACCAAATTATTAATAAAAATACTAAATTGTCAACACCTTTTCACAGCTATTTTAATCTAATCAACACCTTGACTCTTGAGTAATGAATTAACACCTCAATTATCTCTGACAGCAAACTTAACACATATGTGTATTGAAAACCTTTCTTCATTATACAAAACTTCAGAAGTTTGAAATTTAGATATTGGAATGCATTTAAATCAGTTTTTTCTTATCAAATTTATTCATATTTATTAAAAAAAATACAACATAATATAGATAATATCTCATGATTGATCCTAATCAAGTAAATGATTCATTGACTATTTTCAATGAAAAACACTCTTTAAGACTAGTATACATTAGATCTAATTAAAAAAAAAACAACAGAATAATTAATAAATATGCTTAAATAAAAAATTTTCTTTTCTAATCTATATCAATTAGTAATAAAACCTATTTATGAAACATCTAAATACTTCAGTACAATATTTTTTCCCTCTAGTTTATATCAATTAATAATAAACATACCCATTCATTTAACATCTAAACACTTCAATAAAATATTTTTTTTTCTAATTCATATCAATAATTTATATTTATTATAAATATTAAACTTACCCTTTATGTAACATCTATATACTCCAATAATAATGCATTAATAAAATTAAAAATGGGGAGGAACTGTCTGCTTATTTGCAAATATGCAGACGGTTCTCCCCCAAAATAGGGAGAGAATCGTCAAGGAGGAAACGTCAGGGGAGGAGCTGGTAAGGGAGTGAATAGTCTGACTACCCAAGTAGAGAGCCAGGCCAAACCAACATGTATTAAAACAGATGGTGTTTCAATTTAATTTATTCATTTTAACCTATCTTGTCATTAATTTAAACCAAAGTATTCATGTGCTTGATCGTGACGCTACTCATCCCACCACACACGAATTTATGTCAAGATATGTAGGCGATACCGGGATCCCCCCCCCCCCACCTACAAATGAGTCGCGCCATCACAAAACCAACATAGTGCGTTTACAAACCAGCATCGATCCAGACCAGCCTGTGCATCCGCGCATTCTGATCAGGGTCCGTGCTGTTCGCTTACAAACCCTATAACAAGTAGAGAAACTGAAAGCGAACAGCATGGATCCTGATCAGACTGCGCGGATGGACGCAGGCTGGTCTGGATCCATGCTGGTCGCAAACGCACTATATGTTGGTTTTGTTATGAAATACTCAAATAATTTTCATATCTTCTAAGACTAACAGAATAACTTATATTGTAAGTTCTTTCCTCATCTTTTGAAGTCCAGATAATGTAAAATATGTAGATCGTCATACTTTATGAATATAGACATGTTTGATGTTGAAAGCAAAAGTCAACTTTAAAGTTAACGCACAAGGCAACCAGGGTTAAAGTTAACGTACAAGAACCAGGCCCCGTGTTCACAAATATTTAAGGATCAGGATCAAGATCAGGATCAAATTATATAAACTCTTATATTCTCCGTTGTTTATCTTCATATATTAAATAGTTTATTAACTTGATAAAACTGGACTTGAAATAGCATGTTTATGAAATTGTAGAATAAATTTATTGTTATTTTTGCAAGATACCGGCATTTTAAAGTTGATCCAAATATTGATCTTGATCCTAAAATTGATCTTTATTTTGATCCGATTATTTTTGTATTTGTTTTATTCGTTGATTTTATCCTAAAATAAGTTCGTTTCTTTGTAAATCTAGCAAATACGGTTAATTTTAGTAACATAAAAAAAATCAAAATAAATCAGGATCACTTGATCCTGATCCTGATCTTTTCTTTGTGAACACGGTCCAGAGGGTTAAGGTAACGCACAAGAGCCGGGCTAAAATCAACGCAAAACAGTTAGCAGTTAGCGCATGCACAAGAGCAGGAGTTACAGTTAACGTACACATGCATGATCAAAATTTGCAAAGTCAGATATGATCAGACCATGCCATAATATAGGAGTCAGATAAGAAGCGAAGCCTAGTTACCGAACTAATTTACGGCGTTCTTATCTTTATTTGCACACAATTCTGTTAGAGTCCAGTAGTCTATAGTCTGACAATGGCGATGTTACATTGTATTTTTGTCTTTGGGTTCGTTTGGCTGTCCAATGCCCAAACTACAGGTGAATATTTCTTGTCATATGTCATTTATTTTTTTCCATGTAGTGTATAAATTTGAAGTTAAATGCCGAGAAGAAAATTAGTTTTAAACCGTTTTTCATATTTAACAATGGTTTAATGCTTTTATTAAGTTATCCACTTTTCTAATTTAAGGACTGTACATCTTTATATTTTTTTTGTCAAATTGGTTAAGTGTAACGATATAGTTTTCATTTAATATAATATTTATATATGTGGTTTTATATATATTTCAGTTTCCAGTACAAACGGAACAGAAGGTAACTAATTTACAAATTTCAATATATTGTTTGAAAAGAAAGTATTACTTGCTCAGAATTATGTAAGTTTTTATTTTGAAAATCAACTCTCAAAATATTTTGAAGATTTTCAATTCTGTTTTCTCGTTGTAAAAAGAATTATCTGAAAGGTACACATGTACAATATGGACTCATTATTGTTTTGAAGAATAGAAAATATAGTTAATGTAAATTAATACGTCGCAAAGATCTTATAGGATGACCCATTCGACATACCAACGTCACGGTTCAGAACTGGTCACTATTTAGGTGTGTAAGATGTGTAAGTGGCCGGATAGCTCAGTCGGTAGGGGGTCCGGAGTTCGAGTCCCGATCAGACTGCACATTTTTCTCACCCTCTGACATTTGGCGCCCAACGTGACCGTGACTGAATATAGCTCAAAGTTTAATTTACATTGTTCTGTAGCCCTGAGAAATTCGAGAACGAATTTCAGTTTAGCGGGGAAGTATGTGACTGTTCAGAACTAGTCACTATTTATGGGTGAAGATGTGTAAGAGGTCAGATAGCTCAGTTGGTAGAGTCGCGGAAAGGTATTCTCAGGGTCCCGGGTTCGAGTCCCGGTCACACTGCACAATTTTCTCACCCTGTGACATTTAGCGCTCAAAAGGTTGACCGTGACTGCAAATATATCAGAGTTTAAATCACATTGCTCTGTAACCCTGGAAAATTTGAGGAAAAAAATGATTCGCAATAATACGAATATTGACCACATGACAAGAAGCGTGTAATACCTTGTCGAACAATGCCTCTGTGTACTTTAACCAGTGAACAATTTTTCATTACATCTGTCTAATTCTCACAGAGGTCATTGTCAAGTTTAACAATGTGAACCATGAATTAAATCAAGTCTGGTTATAACTAGTTCATACAATGTCCTCGTTTTGGTATTTGGACATGTATTCTGGCCCAGCCGATTTTATTGCAACTTAATGAAATAAAAATTAGAACGTATATATGCAAGAAAAACTTGAGCTGAAAATTTCATGTGATGATATATACAAACAAATATTTCAGGATGTGACCATAACAAAGCAGATATCATTTTCCTCTTGGATGCCTCCTATAGCGAAGGCTCGGCTAACTTCAAGAAACAGCTTGACTTTGTTAGTAACTTTACCAATGGATATGATATAGGTAGACATATATTCATTTTTTGTTATTGGATCATCATTATCATCATCATCATCATTACCATCATCTTCACCAATATTTTACATTATAATCATATCTGCGCTCTAGTATAGCTAATAGTTAAACAGTTGGTTGCCTATTGAGCAGTAAATTTTCATTTAAATATTTAATTTTTGAATACTGATTATCAGTGGCCCTTTAATACCAAATAATGTGTGTGAAACTAATACCAAAATCACTGGCATAACTGACTTATAGCTAATTTCATTTATTTCTGTTTTTTTATGCATTAGCTTTTATGATATTCTGAGCTCACGCATGATTTATACCGACGATATGCCCTTCATAATAATTCAATATCGTAACTATTGCAATAAATTTTAAATAAAAAAAAGTTTGATATATTGTCATGTAAGTCAAAAAAAAATTAAATCCATGTTACAAGGATACCGATATATATTCTACACGTACTTTTGCCATATGTTCAACTGTTATTTACAATAATGTATATGTAATATAAATTGTTTGAATGTACAGTCCCGTTATGGATAAGAGTCTAAAAATAAAATTCTGGTTCTGTCCTGTTCTCTTTGTTTTAAGAGAAGTTTCATATATAACCTGTTGTATATATGTTATATGTTGTATATAACCCGGATGTATGTAAAACATGAGTAGAATAAAACATATCGTAAGTATTCCATAATTATGTATTGTTTATTTAATCGGTGAATTCTTTTACTGCTTTGAATATTCTCAAAATAAGAACTTGTCTTTTCCACCTGACTTTACTAGCTTACTTAAAATATATTGATGCAGCTCAAAGACACTTAGCATGATCCTTGCTATATTTACGTAAAGGAATTCCTGTCACGAACATGACTATATCTAGTGACTTAAGGGGAATGGATTGTAGTTATTCAAACGCGGATGATATTATGAAATAGTTTGTAGAGATAAGAGCTGTATGATTCACGGAAGTTTCACAAATGTAAAATAAGAGATAAAAATAAGAGATAAACCAAGTAACTATTCATTGCATTTATTATCATAATTATCATTTCCACCATGCACCATCACCACCATCCTCTCATCATTCAGTGTTGTAATGTATAAGCATTTCAAACTCTAATACCACTTTAAGATCTTTACTCCTAGTTTAAGGTAATTCTATTGTCTTATGGTTGCGTCATTTACTCCTTTGGTATTAATACATTACATACTGAGAAAGACATTAACCCAAATTTTTCATTATTATTTCCCCAAAATAATTTTCGGTACTGTACCAAACAATGACCGTACTGTTTTACTTTTGCTACAAATCAAAGCAAGTACGTTTTTGTACAACAGTAACTTAAAACGCATATCGTTAGATTCACTACCTACTAATTTTTTTTTTCCAACTCCTTAAACCAACCAGTACTAGTGTCATATGAAGGAACATGGTCATGACCCGATTAGGGCTCGAACCCATGGTCCCTTGGTTCAGAGGCAGACACCTTAACCAAGTTGATTTATCCAAATACATAATGCACTTTATCATTCATTTCTTACAATACAGGGCCAGACAAGGTGCAAATTGGTGTTGTAACATTTGCATCATCTCCACATAATGCTTTCTACTTGAACACGTACAATGATAAGCCTTCGCTTGTCAATGGTATCCAGAATGTACCTTACAAATCAGGTAATTGACTTAACCGTGTTAACTATTGTACAATTACTAAACAAAATAAAAACGTCTTGGTAAAACTTCCCAGCTCGCCCATTTTTTTATTGTTTAAAACGAAAATCTAGTTAAGAAAGATAAACCACAGAAACCTTATGTTTAAAACGAAAAAATATTACCCCTCTGTATATATTTTATTTTATTTATCGATTTTTTTGTTGATTTTTTTTTTTTCATTTTAAACTTCAGATTCCTGTGGAAATATATTGTAGGAGAAGAATTGACTGGCAGATAATTAGCCGTCTCTTTTATAAAAGCATGAATTTACAATTCCATCTTTACTACTTATACATGTAATAACATGTCACATGACAATGACTGCAAATAAAGATGCAAATCTTCACCTACAGGGAATTTATATACAAGAATCTGTTCTCTGGTGACAAAATTCACCTTACATTCGTCCGTCATTCCAAATTAAGTTAAATATATGCAGTAATAGCAATTTATTTGGTCAGCTTTATCGCATTTGTAATAAATGTTGTCTTTTTTTTCGAAACAAACTTCAAAGTTTTTCCAAAACCTTTGGATAATAGTGTTCTAGCTATAATAACTACATGCTACGACATTTGCACAATTGTATGCAGTGAATAATGAAGAATTACTAGTTTGAGAATAATGACTATTAGAAGTTTGTCTTTAACAAGTTAACAAAACCTTCATTGGTTTATCTCTAAGGTGGAACCTCTACGGACGATGCTCTGAAGTACGTACGAACAGTTAGTTTTACATCCGCCCATGGAGGCCGATATGGTGTGCCAAAAATATTGGTTGTCATGACAGACGGACAATCTAGTGACCCAACTGGTACAGCAACTGAAGCTAGAATTATACATTATTCTAATATCAAGGTACACAAAAAATTAAAACATCATCGTTAGACACCACACTTCTTAATCGCTCATGATGCCATATTTCGCCGAAATGCCGAAAAGATAAATAGTGTTAAAAATTAGTTATAAATTTTAAGACCATGATATAAGTAAAATCATGTAAGTTTTTCTTAAGTTCTTCCTCCTTTAGTAAAGCTGGAAAGCCTACATATGACCTTTACTGTGTCAGTGTGACTTAAATTCCAACAGATTAAAAACAAACAAAAATTAGATATTCGACTGACTCTTCTGTTAACTATATTTTATACAATGGTCATAATTTACTTTCGATTTTTTTCTTTGTTTCTTATTTAAAATTTATTTAAGTGATTGTGTTCAGAAACAAGTAAAAGCATAAACTTAGTTTCGGTTGAAGTTTTCCTTACTGAACACAAATAAAAAAAAAGATCTAAAGCTGCTGTTATATAGTACATGGCAGTAGCGTACTACTAGTAACTGTTTACCATATTCTTACACCATTTTGTGTTATTATTCCAGGTTATAGCCATTGGTATAGGTAGCGGCGTACAGAGCAAGGAATTGAACGCTATTGCCACAGACAGTCAACATGCCTTTACTGTACCATCATTTGATTCATTACAGACTATAGAGAAGGAAATTCAGACAGCGACCTGTAAGATTTTAAACAATGTTTAATCACCTTTAGGACATTTTGCGCTGTCTGTGACACAGGTGTTATTACCTCTGCACCTTCTACAAAATCCTTTAAATTATTTAGTTCCGCCTATTGTTTTCTTTTAATTTAGAGCACATAAAAGTCTTGAATTTGGCGACCCTGAGGTCACTTTTCAAGGAATGTCACGCTTCTATATGATACATGAGTCTGTAGCACTATTGAAGCTTGCGTTTAACATTGACATCCATGAACATGCATTGTGAAACTTAGAATACAAATTTTCTGTTTTGGACAACCTTAAAAGTTTTCATATTAGCTCTATTTTTCGTATATTTATATTTACCTTATTGTTTAAACATCCACTAGTAGTCATTTGCATGGTTGTATCGCACAATATTTGAAGAATTGACACTGGTGCAAGTTAACACACCCTCTTATTCTAAAGACATTGTTTGAATAAACTTCACTTTGACTATGGACAGATTTGCTGCATCAATAATTCAAAAATTTAAAAATATATTTACCGCTTCTATTTCCTGTGAGATATTTTGCAATAGAGTATACAATTGCTGCACAATAACATTGTATTCACTGAAAAATGACATTATTCACCAATAAGTTAATAACTTACTAGGGCATAGCTTTTAAATCTGTGTTACTTGATTGTAAGCTAAATTGATTTTCAGACTGTAAAATGACTGTTATACATGTATATACTAGATATATAGATCTACATGTATATATTTAAAAGAAAAAATCCTTTTTTACAGGTGTATCAGAGAAAATTGGTAATTATTATCTCATTATTTAAACTGTCTAGGATAATTATGTATTATACACCAGTTGATTACATTTCTATCATTTGATCATTTATGTATCATTTTATGTACATAAAGCATAACAAATAACATCGAAGTACAGTCTACCTGACAATTAATATGTTCCTCACATTATGAAACACAAATCCAGTTTTAGTCTTATTAAACATGCGTTGATATGAAGGCTGCGTTTCATTATTATAAAAAAGAATAAAAATAATTGCAAAATGGTCATTGGACAAAAGCGAGGACACAACACGATTACAAGAAATATAGTTAAATAATTATGAATACAACGATTAAAGCTTAACATACACAAATATTATATGGTATTTATATAAAATATAAGGTCAGAAAACATGTCAAAATATATT